GTAATTTTTATTACTTTTGCAAGATTTTGACTTAACAAGTTTCTTTCCCAAGGTGAAAAAATTGGCTGTGGGGGGTGGGGGTGGGGTGGGTAAGGGGTGGCTCGACAGTGTTAAAAAAAATATATGTGACTTAAGCCCCTAAATTTAAGGGGCTTCATTTTTAATAGTAATAGGTTATAAGTTATTATTTTTAACAAATATTGAATACTATCTGTAGCAAAAGTGAACTTTTCATGAAAATAAAGGAAATATTAAAAGAAATTTGACATATTTAGGAGTACTCTCAAGAAAAAATAAGTTAAAATAAGAATAATTATATTATCAATTGAAAACTGGAAGAAATTAGTTATATAAATGATATTATCAATTCAAATTTAAAATTCGATTTAATTTTTATTTTAGGTCACTAATATGCTTGAGTCGCTTTCGAGTGGGGCGGGGTTGGGGTGTACATTTTCTTGGCTAAACTTGCATGGCCTAGTCCTGTTTGGTCTGACATCCATGTATGCACACACATGTTTGTTTAGGTTTAATTACTAGTCTTTATATTTAATTGATTAAACTAATTCAAATTTGTCTTAACATGTCTACAAATAATGTCGATTAATCATTTAATTATTTAATATAAAAAGTTAATTGGTTAGACTCATTCAATTATTTGATATTCGACATTCAAAGTTTAACTAATCAAATTAATTTAAAATTAAATTTGAACAAATCGACGTTGATATCATATGAAACTCTATAAACCAGAATTAACTATTCAAATGTTTGATAACAAGAATTTACTAATGGTACAATATATATCTATATTGAGACGCCTAAAAAATTGAGACCCCAACTTTTTTTGATAATATTTTAGTTTGTATAAACAAATAAAAGTTTAAAAAATATTTTTGTAAAACAAAGAGATAAACAAAAACTGTATATTTTTTTTTGTAGATGGTAGAAATATTTTAGAATACCGGATCAAACTATTAAAATTTATATAAATAAATAAACCTTTATACAACTACATCCAACAAACTGTATCGTAAAACATGTATTATAAAACATTGATTAACATACTAATATATATCCAACAAATTGTATTGTAAAACATGTAACATAAGACATTGATTAACATCCTAATATATATTAACAACAATGTATAGTTAAACACTAAATATTTTCTTCTTCTAGTAGTTAAGTATTATAATAAATCAAGTATGAAAAAAAAAAAATAACTTTTTATTAAAATTTCATCAAGCACCTTGCAACATAATTTATTTTATGAAATACTAAATCAAACATTCTATAATATATTATTCAACCAAACTTTCAACCAAAATAATATGTTATAAAATATTCTACAACAACAAAGGTAGCGGCTATGAGATTAAATTAAAATTAATAAAAATAAAAAATATTTAAAAATCAAAACAGACTTTATAATGGTATATAAGACATATATATGAAATACTAAATTTGAATAGTAAGAAAATATGCTTGGAGTGAAAATTTTGATAATAATAATAAACAAATTACAGCTCAAAAACAAAATTATATGAAATTCAATACAATTTCAACAACAAAATTATATAAAATTTCAATACAATATCAACCAGACCGATTTGCTCTTTACAAAAGGATCAGATCTATATTGAAACAGACTCATCCTTTGTATGGTAGATAGATAGCCACAAACACAATAACTGATCATCATAAACATCTTTTAATTATCTGCAAAAATCCATGCAAAATCAAACATAAATAGAAGTTGGTAAGAAAATCATATAAAAAATAGTTTTAAAAAAATTAACATAAATAGATCTGAATCAAAATCGTGCATACCATGCATCACAAAATCTTGAAACTATATAATAGGAATAACAACAAACCCAATATAATACGTATAGTTAGATCTAAAAGGATAAAATACACGCGAATAAAAAATTGTTTCCGATAGATCCTCAACTCAAAACAACCAATAAACTTCAATTCAATTGTAGCAATTCTATTTGACCCTATCTGTATCTTCCCACAGCTTTATTGAACCGCAACAACAATATGAATCAATTTTTTCTTTTTCAATAATGAATTGAAATTGTAGATGCAGTTCAAGAAAGCTGTGGAAAAACACAAAAAGGACCATTTCTTTTTATTTATTTTTTTTGCAAAGGAAACATATTTAACCCTAATAGGAGAAAAAACGAAGAGAAAAAAAAAAAGAAAGGTTTTTTTGAAAAAAAATAAAAAAATTATGTGATGTTTTATGAGTGTGATGAAAGTGAAGAAAGGGAATGGAGTATTTATAGGGGGGAATTGAATTACTTTAAACCACACCAATCCCAAGAAGAATATTTGGGCCTAAAAAGAAACTCTTCTCTGATCACAAACCCACTTTTTTCAACCTATTAAAAAGCCTACCTTTTTTTTTCATCCCATTTATAATATATTTTTCTCTAATGATTAAATTATTATTAACACTTATTTTTATTTTAATCCCTCCCAAGGAGTTTATTCATTTTTTTTTGGTTCATTCAAACTCACAACCTTCACGTTGCTTTCTTAGTGATTCGAAAATAAGGAATGTTTACCATTTAGATAATTCTCTCTCGTTAGCACGATTTTTCTTAAGAAAATGCATTCAGAATTTAATATTTAAGGTTGTGTTTGGTATGAAGAAGATATTTTCACTAGAAATTAAATATTTTCTAGAAAAATAAGTTAATTTCTTATTTATCTTTTAGTGTTTGATAGTAAATAAGCAAAAAAATATATATTATTAACATTTATATATATATTGTAGCAAAACATTATAGAAGTAGAAGAGGGGAGCAGTGGGGGTGAGATGCACAAAGTATCTCGTATTAACAGGGTCTAAAAAAAAGACACACCTCATTTATCATTGATAAAATAATTTATAATCATAAATATTTATCTCATTTTAAACCATAAAAATAAGTATCAAAAATATCTTTTTTCATTCTTAGCGGCATTTGATCATTCACTTTCTACAAAAAAAAATATTTAGAATTTAGATATAATTTTTCTATATGATTCATATCCCCCTCCCTCAGATTTCTAAAACCTAGCAAAATAACTCAATTTAACTAATTTACTTTAGACGTACAATTAAAAATGCTCTAGAAGAGTAATATGTCAAAATTGATATATAGTTATATGATGTCATAAATTAGATTTCATGTACGAGCAATTACATACTACTAAATATATTTTTTACTTTATTTTGATTTTCTTTTGCAGAAGAAATTGAAGTTAAAAAGTTGTTTTGATAATAATATGTGAATGATGTTTGATGGTTTGAATTTATTTTTCCTAAAAAATATAAAATACCATTTAAATGTAAAATATAATTTAAATTGAAATAATTTTAATAAAAATAAAACATTAGTTTAAATTGGAAAGAAGAAGTATATTAGAAGTGAAAATAATTTTTTTTCAAATACAAAGTTATATTTGATTTATCATGGCCAAACGTTGATTTTCAAATAAAATAAGAAAAAATCTAAAAAATAAATGAACAATTCCCATGATCATGTGGGTCCTTAAATTTAATGTCGCGCCAAGCACCTTCACATGAATTGATTTGGACGGAGTATCATTTTATACTCGTCCATTTCAATGATATTCATCTTTTTCAATTCATGTGAAGGTGTTTATCGCATTTATTTATCTCTTTTTTGATGACTCAAACCAACAACATTTGAGTTAGAGGTGAAAAATATTTATCATCTAAGTAATTTTTTCTTGTCGATTTTATTTTACTGAATATTGAATTTTAAAATACTTAACAAAATATTTCTTTGAATAGTAAATCGTCTCATTAATTATAAAATATCAAGTTTAGAATATCCAATAGTTTTTCGGAACATAATTAATGAACAAAAATTATGTCACATAAATTGATATAATTAGTTATGATTTTTATGCGGTTACTATTTTTATCTTATTACTAATAGTACTTACTATACTTTATGATTTAAGTTATATGGGTTAATAGTATATAGACCTTTTTAGGGTTATATCAAAATCGAAATAGAGAATCTGAATCAAAAAATATTTGTTAATTTATTGGTAATGGATTATTTTAGCAGTTCTAATAATGATTTTAAATTTTATTATTATAGGGATATTGTTTTTAATGGATTGAGATTTTTTTAACTGATTAACCGATAATTTTTACTAAATTAATTAATTGTATTCATACCATTTGTTGTATAATGTTCTTGACTTTTAGAGTTTAATTTCATACTTTAATAACTTCTCTGTCATTCTACAATGTGTTAATATTCGCTTTTGAGCAAAATGCAATATATTTAATTTATAACCTTATTTCTAAGTAATTTTTCTAATATTTTTTTCGCATGTCAAATCTTAACGGAATAATCGATACCGAATTGATAACTATTAATAACCAATTAATTTGGATCAAACGGCTGTTATTGCATTACTGGATCATGCTTTGTGGGTCCCACAGTTAGATCTGTCTATTTCCGTGGCGGTTGGAATTCCATCTTCAAGGGCCCCACGAATTGACACCTAATTTTCTAAAATATTATTATATTTTTTTATTCAAAAAAATATTTTTTTTTAATTAAAAAAATATATTATTATATAATTGTATGGAACTTATATTTCTTTTCAAATTTTCTCTTTCGATGGGAGGGTCCTATTTTTTAATGTTTGGTTGTTGTTGCAATTAAATTATTAAAAAAATTAAATTATATAATTTTTGTATATTAGTATAATAATAGTATATTTTTAATAAAGTATGTTAATATACATATTTAGATTTATGATATTATTGAGTTTGAGAAAATTTATGATTTTTGATTTTGATTATGTTCGTTCTGTAAATTATTTTATAATATATGTTAACTTTCGATAAAAAAAAGATTTAAGCCTTTCTTTTAAGTGTATTAATTTTTGATAGATAAAAAAGAGCAATTTTCTATTCAAATATGTGTTTAAATTAGCTTTTATTAGCCATATTTCAGTCATATTTTTGGAGAAAAAAATAGTCATTATGATGGAGCAATTTCAATACAAAGCATATAAATAAATTGACACAATTTGTTGACTAAAGGTGTGGTAGTACGATGGAAAAATATTTTTAAATTTTGTCACATTATATCGATTTTTATGTTTTAAAAGATGGATATATTTTTTTTTTCAAATTTAAGAAAAAATAAAGTATGGAAAATATTCTAAAACCTATTTTCAACTCTTGAACCGATTTGAAATCGAACACTTGACCTTGATCATGAATCCGACTCAAAAGATCGACTCTTATCACTGATCCCAACTCTCGACTCTGATCAGACAACCGACCCTAATTATAACATTTTCAACTCAATGTCGTTGTATTCCTCAAATTGTACCTAGATATTTTCGAGACAAAATCCATATATCGATCATCTCCACACAGTTTAAACTACGAGATCACCCCAAAAAAACTCCTCCGACGTCCAGCAGTCACGGACCGACCATAAAACCCTATTCATCTTTCCTTCTTACTAATCAAACACTAAAAAATCACTTATTTTTTAAAAAAATACTAATCAAACACTAAAAAATCATTTTTTTTTAAAAAAAAAAACTTCGTACGAAATATATTTTTAAAATTAAAATTCATAAAATAAAATTTAAAAAATCAACATAGGGTGCTCACATGGTGGCATGTGAGGGTGACCCACATTTTTTTAAAAATGACATGTACCCCGTTATTTTCGGACTATGGGTTTGTTGCCCCGACATTTTTATACTTACTACGATGCACCCTTTTATTAATACTATAAATATAAATAAAATAAATCATTTTTATTTTTAAAATTATTTTTATTATACATATATATATATATTACTCATAATTATTTTATTATTTGTTGGATCTTTAGCGTTGTGTATTTTTCGGTGGAAAATGTAGCAATTCGATTACGTATGTACTGTACATTCAAATTTAATATTGCTAAGTAATTTGAAACGCAAAACTTCTATTTAAATTTATTAAATTTAAATTTTATGTATTTTCATGATGTAACAATTTGATTACGTACATTTGATTTTAATATTTCGGCATATAGTATAGATTTATTTATAAGTGAAAACTTTATTAAAAAAATCTTAATGTGTATTATATATGATTTCATAGTTTAAATATACATAATTAATTCGTTATTATTAGCTGAAATAAATCACGTATTTCGATAAGAAATACATGTGCGAGAAAATATTTTTGAAACTTATAATTTCAAAATTGTAAAAAGTGTGATACTAAGAATTTTAACGATTAAAAATCTATAAAGTTAAATTTGTTTATTAGCCTCTATTTTAAACAATTTTTCCGTCTATTTAATCGAATTGATAAATACAAAATCTTCTTCATTATTGATTAACTTTTATGCAATCTTATTTACGAAACTAATGTAGCATAAATCATAAGAAAACAAGGGTCTATTTTTCATTAAAAAATTTAAGTGAATTATCTAGATATAAAATCGAATAAATACATGTTATATATATATATATATATATATATATATATA